ATGATGATCTTGGAAGCTTTAATGTTAAAACCAGAATATTGAATAAATCTTGCTGTGACGTGGAAACCTCGGGGAACGTTTAAACATTTAATCATAATATTTTCAATCATGTAATAAATGATTTTTTTAATTTTACTATCATGTAAAAATAATTTCCTACTTTTAAATCATTTTTTATGTGAAAACGAATTTCTTGATACAAACTTAATTATTCTCATTGTATTTATATGCAATTTTGTTAGATTTACTACCATAAAATGATAATTTTTGTATTTTCAAAAGTAACGACAAATTTCTGAAATTTTTAAATTTCAAAGTTACATAATTCCAACGAGTCGAAGTTCAAAAATTAAAAAATCCTAAAATCTAAAAATACCGAAAGTCAAAAGCGTTTCAAAATTTCAAACAGTCTTGAAATTTCAAGACCCTAAATATAAAAATTCCAAAGGGCCAAGATTTCAAAATCTCAAAATTCGAAAATTCTAGTTTTTAAATTTTACAAACTCAAAATTTCTGGTAATCGGAGAAATTCCAAAACCTTAAAAATAAAAAATTTCAGAACTCTAAGATTCCAAAAACCCAATGTAAACATGTACATAAAACGAAAAATTATAACTACAATAGCAAATTATAACATAATGTACGTTTCATTGGTGTTTGTTAAAATACATATATGCGCTACAATGAAATGCAAAATAAAAGATCTTGGTAAAATGATTAGATTCTACTTTCTATGTAATGAACAGATTATTCATTTTTTTTTCGACTCAAAATTGCAATTAATAATTAAAGAACCATGATTCCCCCAGAAGATGATTGGATCAAAATTTATTCGCGAAAAATTCGCACGTTATTATTAGTTGCTTAACGTTTACGACTTTGGTACTCCTTAGACGGGCGCTAAAATTTATTTCTTCTCAGATGCGGGAAAAGCCGAACGTCAAACAATGATGTTTCAAGGTCACTAAAATGCACTCAGGATGGTTTGCAGTTTAATATTTATACTAACAAACTGTGTGAATTTAAACTGTTAGAAATCTTCGGAAATCAGTTTTTTAAAATTGATTTTCACATTTTCAGTAAAAACTTCTAAAATTTTTATTAATTTACACAGTAAATACGCGCTGATAATTATAAAAGTGGTCTAAGGTAAAATGATAAAAGAATTGCTCCTTTTATTATTTACATTATTGAAATAAATGCGATAGAAATTTCATTCAACTACATGATAATTAACTTCATTATCAGTTCAGCTTACGAACTTTTTTTAAAAAATTCAAAATTCATCAAATTCAAATTCATCAATACATAATATAGTAAAATTAATTGATACAGTAGGCAAGTAAAATGTTTACTCCTTTTGGAATATTGATTTAGATCACTTTCGTAGTATATCTTTTGTTGAAAATTCACAATTTATACAGGCTGTTACGTCTAATGCTACTCACGATTTTTCTCCCACTTGCAGTGATCTTACGAAAAAAAGTTTAGAACAATATTTCCAGGGTATGAAGTGCACAATAGATATTAGTAAAACAAACAAATATTAGTAAAACAGATTTTGAAAACAGTTTGTTCTCTTGGCAAAGTCAAGGTCACCTTCGGTTTTTTAAATAGGAACAGAAATTTTTTTTACTCGTAGCATTAGAGGATATCGTGACGAATTCAAAACACATATTACATAATATTTTTATTAACATATTACTCGATTTACAAAAGAGGAAATGTGAAGTGCTTTTGACTTTGGTAATATAACCATTACAGTATTCACTCCGTAAATGTTAAAAAGATCTCTACCGTAAATGTTAAAATTCTATCCCCACTACTGGGGGATCCC